GCGCGCCGCCACCAGCCAGGGCCCCGGGCCCCCGCCCCGCATCTGAGTCCCGCCGGCCCTGCGCCGCGCCGCACAGCCTATGGCGCCCCCGCCTGGAGCCCCCCAGAGCCACCCCGCCGCCTGAGCCCGGCAGCGCGCCCGTCGACCCGCCCACCCATCAGCCCGCCCGGCGCCCTGGCCGGCCGCTCGCCGGGCTCCCCGGTCATGTCTCCCGCCCGACTCCGGCCCCGCCTGCGGTTCGGCTTGCTTCTGCTGCTGCTGCTGGTGCCGGCGGCGGGCGGCTGCGGGCCGGGCCGGGTGGTGGGTAGCCGCCGGCGGCCGCCGCGCAAGCTCGTGCCGCTCGCCTACAAGCAGTTCAGCCCCAACGTGCCCGAGAAGACCCTGGGCGCCAGCGGCCGCTATGAAGGCAAGATCGCGCGCAGCTCCGAGCGCTTCAAGGAGCTCACCCCCAACTACAACCCCGACATCATCTTCAAGGACGAGGAGAACACCGGCGCCGACCGCCTCATGACCCAGGTGAGCAAGACCCGCCCCCCAGCGCGCCGTCGCAAGCACCGCCACCTGCCCGGCCCTACTCGCCCCCCTGGCACCTTTTCTGGACTGCCCGGCCCGCCCCCGGGCACTTGCCCCTCTCGCTAAGCCTGGCCGCCTCCTGTCCGAGATGGACAGGCTAGGGGCTCCCCACAGAGGTGCCGCGTCCCGAAGCCCGCCGGAGTCTGTGAAAAGCGGCTCCCCCTGCCAAGCCCCACAGCCCCGCAGGTTAGCGGCGGCCCCTCTGGCAGCTCCAGCGAGAGGCGGCACCCAGAGGTACCTCGACCGGGCTCCTCCTGCGGTCCCGGACCCACACCGTCCCTCCGGGTCTACCCCTCCGCGCGTCTGCTCCCCTTCCATTGCGAAGCCATTGGGCCGGGTGAAGTGCAGACGCTCCGGGCGCTCAGGCCCCAAGCCCAGCTGCTGCGCGCGCGCTAGTGAGTGGTTCGCGGCGCTGCCCCTCCAGGAGTACTCAGGGGCGGGTTGGAGCGGCGTCTGCTGGGTCTGCGGTGAAGGCACCGCGGGGAACATTGAGCTGGGAGGCGGAGATGAGAGCGAACAAACCCCGCGAGCCCTCGTGTCTGAGAGCGCAGCTGTGGTTGAAGGTTGGGTGCGGGGGCCTTCGGGCCCTGGGACTGAACTTGGGAGACCCCTGGGCTTGGCGGCGGGAACCGGAAGACTGGAAGAGAGGGGCTGGGATGCCTAAGGAGGCTGGGAACAGAGCCGAAAGCTAGCCCTTGCTGCTCTGACAGGACTCGCGTTCGGCCCAGCGCCGGGGCGCAAACTTCCTTCTGTGCATCTGGGTCTGGAAGGGAGAGACCTGAGACCCCATTCTTCTGGGATTTCCCCCCGGGGCTTCCCCAGCAGGCAGACTGCGGCTTTCTAGCTCCTTTAGGAACAGCAGCTAGACCACAGCCCTCAGCCTGCGCCCTGGCGCCGGGGCTGGCCGGCCGGTGTCGGGGCCGAAGGTTGGCTGGTGGCCGGGCCGGGCCGGGCGCCGAGGAATGCAGATAAGGATCCGGGCCACGGGCTGGGCAATCATTGACAGCGCGCGCCCCGACTCTGGACCCAGGGGGGTGGGGAGAGGAGAGAGGGCGGGGAGCAGGGGCCCGCGGGGCAGATACAGGTGGGGGGCTAGAGGCCTGGCGGCGACCATGAGGAAGGAGCACATGGATCTCCCTCCTCGGCAGGGAGCGCCCCCAGGCAGGCTGTGCTCAAGGGAGGACTAACTGGGCCTTGAGTTGTAGCCACTGTTGGCTTCTGGGAGGCCGAGGTCCAAGGGTGTGTGGGGCCTGGGCTCCGCGGGTTGAGGGTAGCTAGAGACTAGCCGCTCCACACCTGGCTGCGGGGCGCACTTCGGGGACACCCACAGGTAGAAGGGCTCCCTCCCCGCAGGCCAAGGATCTGGCCCCTACGGCCTCCACCCCCAGGCAGTTGCAGACACTTGCTCTTTAGGCCCCAGGCGTGCCAAGAGGCTGCAAGGACAGACAGTCCCTCCCATCCTTCTCCCAGGGTCCAGCTCTACCCCCACCCCAAGTGAGGCATAGGGTGGAGCCATCTCCCTGATTTAGAGGCTCGGTTTCTCGGGTCCCTTTCCACGCACTGGTGCAGAGGTGCTGAGGGCACTAGACTCAGAGCAAGTTGCCTGGGGTTGTCAATCCCCCAGGCGCGCCCCTTGGGGCGGGAGACGCTCCATGCTGCACTCGCATCAGTTTCCTGTGATTCAGGAGCCCGCCCTGTCCCGGGCGCCGGCCGGTTTGGGATCATAAGAAGGTCCAGCAAGAAGGCCAAAAGATCCAGGTTGACTCGGGATTCTCCTTCAACACACGCTTGGCGCAGCTGAGGCACTCTGCACCTGCCGCGCCACGGGGCCCGCCGTCCCAAGGTCTCAGCCCCGAGGCTACGGTGACACCTACTGGGCACCTCGGGCCTTGCACGCCTAGCAGGCCAGCCGCGGGCTATCGGCTCCTCTATGACTCCTCCCAGCCGCTGCGCGCCGACCCTGTAGCCTGGGAGACACAGAGGTGTGGGACACTCGAAAGGTGTAACCTGCCCCTGGTTTTGGCCTCGATAGGGACCCGTACCCTCAGAAGGCGACAGAACGCACAAAAGGGAAGGGGAACTCTACGTGTCGTGGAAGGGCACCCAGAGAGGATGGTGGCTCAACGCGCCCTCCAGATTTGGCGCCACCATTAGGTCCGGGTCCCTGGGGCGACCCGGACCCTGGAATTGGTGGGAGCACTTCTGTTCCTAAGGGAGAGAGATGGGGCACCCTCCCCAGTTTTCCAGCCCCATCTGGTGCGATGGGAGAGTCCCAGGCGAGGCTGTGCCCGCAGCCCACCGGATTCTTCCCTTAACTCCTCGCGCTCTCCTCTCGCAGCGCTGCAAGGACCGCCTGAACTCACTGGCCATTTCCGTGATGAACCAGTGGCCCGGCGTGAAGCTTCGGGTGACGGAGGGTTGGGACGAGGATGGCCACCACTCGGAAGAGTCGCTGCACTACGAGGGGCGTGCAGTGGACATCACCACGTCGGACCGGGACCGCAATAAGTACGGGCTGCTGGCGCGCTTGGCGGTGGAGGCCGGCTTCGACTGGGTGTATTATGAGTCCAAGGCCCACGTGCACTGCTCCGTCAAGTCGGGTGAGCCGCCGCCGGGGGGCTGGGCCCGGGGCCGGGGCCGCAGGGCTTGGGCAGGCGGCGCAGGGCCTGCTGGGACCCAGAAGGTGAAGAGGCTGGGCCAGGGATGGAGGCAGGGGCCCCGGGGAAGAGGACATCGGCGGCGCTCCCAGCCACTTTTCGAGACCGCCTGCTCCTCCCAGGCTTGGTAGTGACAAGGCAGGAGCCTAGGGAAACAGGACCCTGTCCCCGAGCCGTGGGTGCTGTCGTGGTGGTCCACGGCCCAGAGCCTGCTGCAGGAGGTGCAAGACAGAGCAAGATGGACAGATGGAGGAAGCCAGGCCTGCAGACACCTCCCCACCCAGTGGGGGTGCAGAAGGAGGCGGCTGTGGGGCCAGGGGCAGGGTGGGCCAGATCCCAGCATGCCTCACCAAGAGCCCAGGAGCCCCCGAGGTTCAGACCTAGCTCAGGTCAGGCCTTTTAGGGTGCTATGTGCACTCCTCCCAGGGGGCGCAGGCGTCCCCAACCTCTCCCCCAGGGCCCTGAAGCTGGACACTTTGGGACCAGAACAAAAAAGAGGTGACTCAATAAAATGGACTCTCCCAGATTGGCCGCCTTGTTGATCAGAATTGGCTGGAGCTGGGGCCCCTCCCTCACCCCTGAATCTTGTCAGTGTCCTGGTCACCTACACTGAACACAGTCATGGATGCTTCCCATGGTTCCTACCTGACCGCCAGGCTGGCTCCCCCTGGCTTGCAGGCTCACTGGCCCCATGTTTATTGCACACACAGACCCAGCACACTGAAGCAAGACTGCTTTCTGGTACTCACAGCTTCCCTGGGCTCCCAGTGGTGATTGTACACTGAACTGTGGCCACTCCTGACCCTTCCCCTGAGCATGTCCCCCACCAACTGTATTTGCTTCAAGTCACATCAACCCTTCATCTGCCTCACTGACCTCATGCCAGCTTCTAGACTGGTTACTCCCATTCATTACTTCTGCCCCCAAACACTGCTCTTCCTTTTACTCATTGATGCCACTGTGGCCTGTCCCCACACAAGGACTTTAACTGAAGGTGGTGATTGTGTCTACACCACTGACCCATCCCCTGGCCTGACCATTCATGCCAGCCTTCCTGGGAGTCTATCTGTATCCCCCTGGCTGGTCCTCCTCTTCTAATTTCCATGTAGAATCATAGAAATTGGGGTATCAGACTGAGAAGACAATTTTGGGGGGAGTGTCTGAGCAAGAGGTGAGGAATACTGGGACATCTGGACCCCAGAGGAGCTAAGCCACCTCCCCCTCCATAAGGCTGCAGCCTTCCCTGTCCCAAGTCACAGCTGACCACCACCTGACTTGGCCTACCATCTGGCCTTCATGATGCTTCTCAACATGGCCAGGACATGAGCACATGGAGCCTCACCTGGGCCTCAGGAGGCCTCTTCTCCTCTAACTCACCATGTCCTGGAGCCTCAAAACACTCCTCTCATTGGCAAAGGATTAGGGAAGAAGGGAAACAGAAGGTCACATTGGGCATTGGGTGGAGGGTATCAAGCCTGCATGGGAAGTGGGAGGCAGGGGCTCAGATACAGTGTCAGGACCAAAAGGAGCTTTGGCTGGGCTGGGGGACTGGGTAGGTATGTCAGGGGTGGGAATCCAGGCTCTGCAGCAGTAACATCATGTCCCTTCTTCCCACAGAGCACTCTGCTGCAGCCAAGACAGGTGGCTGCTTTCCTGCTGGAGCCCAGGTGCGCCTGGAGAATGGGGCACGTGTGGCCTTGTCAGCTGTGAGGCCAGGAGACCGGGTGCTGGCCATGGGGGAAGATGGAAGCCCCACCTTCAGTGACGTGCTCATTTTCCTGGACCGTGAGCCAGAGCGGCTGAGGGCCTTCCAGGTTATTGAGACCCAAGACCCCCCACGCCGCCTGGCACTCACGCCCGCCCACCTGCTCTTCACCGCCAACAATTACACAGAACCAGCGGCCCACTTCCAGGCCACGTTTGCCAGCCAAGTGCAGCCTGGCCAGTATGTGCTGGTGGCCGGGCTGCCAGGTCTGCAGCCTGCCCGAGTGGCAGCTGTCTCCACACATGTGGCCCTTGGAGCTTATGCCCCACTCACAAGGCATGGAACACTGGTGGTAGAGGATGTGGTTGCCTCCTGCTTTGCAGCTGTGGCTGATCAACGCCTGGCTCAGTTGGCCTTTTGGCCTCTGAGACTAGTTCACAGCCTGGCATGGGACAGCTGGACCCTGGGTGAGGGTGTGCACTGGTACCCCCAGCTGCTCTACCGACTGGGGCGACTCTTGCTGGAAGAGGGCACCTTCCACCCGCTGGGTGTGTCTGGGTCAGGGAGCTGAAGGGTCCCACCACTACCCTCCCAGAACTGCCATACTGGATCCAAAGGCCTCCCCTAAGGATGGTGCTGGCCCTGGAAGGTACTGGCTCCCACCACCTTCTCTACTATGGAGATGCACCATTGAGACTTGACAGGGCAATGTCAATGTCCCTCAGTGCCATCTTGGTTGGTGAAAGAGCTGCAAGCTGGCCTGGAATTGAGTGGGTCTGTTCTTCTCTCCTAGAGGCCACGAGACTGGCATGGTGGGTGCCAACCCAGCCAGCCCTCACCATGAGTTTTCATACCCTGCCTTCCCTGATGAGGAGGGCCCATTCCATCTATCTTAGGCCCCCATTGGTGGGCGTGCACCTCAGTTGATGCTGCTAGATTCCCTGGGAGCCAGCAGAGAGCGCTGGCTGGACTCAGTGCTGCCCAGAACTGAGAAGGCCACAGATGGGGCAGCCTGCCTGGCAATCCTAAAGAATGACCTTCCTGCCTGGCCACACGCCTTGGGACACATCCAGAGACTGTTGCTGTCAGTGGACAGAGTTCTGTGTTGCAGCCAATGTGACCACAGTGCCAGGGACCATGTGAAGGGGACTGGATGTCCTTCCTGCCCAGGCAGAGCTCCCTTTTCTGCTGAACCATGACCCCACCCCCTCCTCTGGTCAGTCTCCTCCCCCTACCCCTTATTTATTGGCACAGAGGAGGAACCCCATGGGAGAATTTGTGGGATGTTTTGGTCTTTTTTTCCTTTTGTAATAAAAATTATTTAAGTTGTTAGAGCCATAGAGTCCAGGATGCTGACTGGGGCCAATACGTGGAGAGTTTGGCATCCACCATGCTGGGTTTGTCAAGGGTTTGCCACTCCTCTGGAGGAAGTTTGGGCAATGTACTTCTGTAGTGGTACCCAAGGAGGGGTCACTATGAGTCGGATCCAACTCCATGACAGTGAGTTTGGTTTTTTGGTTTTCAGTGAGGCCTAGCTCACCTTTCCCCAAGAACAAAGCCTCCAGATCTCTCATTCTCTCTGCAAGATCTTTCTAACCCAGGAGCTCTACAAAGTCCCAACAGAGAGCTGTCCTCTGCACCTGGCATGCTGTCACATGCTGACCCCAAAGTGTGCCCTCAAAGTGATTAGACCAGAGATGTAACTGCGGTGACTTATCCTTGGTGGCTCTACTCATCTGAAACCCACCCCATCTTGCCCAGTCAAGGCATTTCCCTGGCACTTCAGGCCTGGGTTTCCTATTAACTGTGCGCAGTGGACCAACGTATGGAAGGATTCTCTAGAATTCACATTGGTCTGTGGCCCGTTCTCACTTCTTGGATAAGTCAGGGTTCCCCAATTAGCAGTTCTTGGAATCATGGGGGCATCTTGTTTCAAAGTAATCCCTGGGCTTTAATAGATCCAGAGTGAGGCCTAGGAACTTACTTTCACAAACATCTCAAAATTGCAGATGATCTGTGGGCCCCACTTTGAGAATCAAGACAGAATGATGCTCTTCTCCTTCTCACAGCCTCTCCACCCCTCGGCAGGTTTTTCTGTAATCTCCACACATCTGCTGAGGTTCCCAGGCCCAGTGGTGTGCTAGAAATAACTCATACCAACTTGCAAGAGGCAGTTGTTAAATTTTCAGGAATTTGGTGAGTCAGTTGTTAGGTGAGAGTGTTTACACCATGGAAATTGGCAAATGTTACCAATTAGGGCTCCCTCTTTCCCTGGAGAGGCAGTTGCTAAAGCATTTACCAACATGCCACTGTAAGAGGTTCTATCTTCTTACGAAGATTATTGGCTTGGGGAATGGTGGAGATGACCACTCAGATCCTTAATCTCCACCCTACCTGGTGGAGGAAAATTTCATTGCCTGAGGGTCTGTGACATCTGGGGAAATAGGCCCCATCAGGCTATAATGAGAACAGTTATCATTTAATGGGCACTAACCAGCACCTAAGGAACTCTGGTAGCATAGTGGCTAAAGCACTTGACTGCTAACCAGAAGGCTG